CACCCCACCCCCAAAAATGAAGTATAGGCTCATGTAGGAATAGGAAAGTATGTATGAAATGAAAATGTATATCTAGTGTTGTAATGAATCTATGCTAATCGCTCCATATTTTAACTGTGTGTATGTGGAGTATGTGGACTTCATTCTTTTCTTCAGATCTTTTAACTTTTTAAGAATGAATTCGTATACTGTTTCAAAGCATATTGGCTCTGAATGAGAGGGTGCTTCTGATTCAGTCAGAGGTGGGTGTTTGTTGTTTGGTAAAATATCTTTGCTATCAAGGGTTTGCTTTTTGATTCAGTGCATGTTATTGTTCCCTTATTACCCTTTTTCTGTGTACATTTTGGGCTTTGTGAGAAGTAGAGGTGGACAAACTATATAACCGGTCTGTTTTTGGACCGTTGGATCTTCCAAAGCTTGGACTGGTTTTTTTATAACAAGTCCTGATCTGAATCGGTCTCAAGGAGATCTCCATGCAATTTTGAACCAGAGATCTCCAGACATTTTTGATTTTTGAAGCGTAAGCTCAAACCAATCAGACACCACTCTTATGGTTATTGTATGAGATTTATTTCTCTAATAACCTTGTAATTAATAAATGTGTTAAAAAAACATGTTAATAAATGTGCTAGAATTTCCCTATTTATTTAATAACATGTTTTTCCCTTCATATATTATCGTTAGTTTTGTAATTGTTTCTAGTTTAACTGGTTTTTAATTAATTCTCTTAAAAAAGTACATTACTGGTCGAATTAATCAGTCTGGAACCGGTCTACCTTGAGCAATGCCAAATGCCCATCTCTACCCTTGTAAATTCACCTTACTATACCAAAAAAGAACCCCTAGAAAATGATATGAGCCGGTGTGCTTGAGGGGTTAAAGTGACAACAGAGTATATAGAAAAAAAAAACCCTAGAAAACTGAAAGGTTAAAGAACAACGTTTTCGAAAAAATTGATAAATATATTTGAGATTTAACTCCTTTTCTTTTAAAAATGGTCTTTTTATGTAACGCCCCTAAGTCTAAACCAATAGATTGACCCGGTAACTTCGAGTTCAACTTATAAATTATAAGGACGAAAATAACAATAAATTACAAACTATAGGAACTAAATTTGTAATTTCAAAACTAAAAAGACAAATTTCGTAACATTTTTACAAACCGTAGGGACTAAAAACGTAATTTACTCTAAAATAAAATACAATCTCCTTATTTTACTGATTTTTTTAAAATTTAAAAGTAAATGGATAGACGCGTCACACTGACAGTAGTTTCATATTGTTCACTCCTGTGACGTCATTTTAGAGCGGCAAACGAAAAACCCTAGAAAATGGTACGAATCGATCTGTTTGATCTTCTGATTTCGAAAGTTATGCGGATTTCGTATAGATTTTATGATGAATTCATCTTGTGGTTTGATTGTTGCAGTTGTTCTTTTCGTACTTCAAGGATTTGGTGGGAAGAGAAGTAACTGTGGAACTGAAGAACGATTTGGCGATTCGAGGAACTCTTCATTCTGTAGATCAGTATTTGAATATTAAGCTCGAGAACACCAGAGTTGTTGATCAAGAAAAGTACCCTCACATGGTATGGTTTTCTAACATTCGATAATTATTTGTTAGGGTTTTAGCTTACATGAAATTCGATTTGATTTCAATGGTCAGAGGTGATTAAGATATGTCGAATTTAGGAATTTCATTTGAAATTCCTCTTTTCCTGCAAATACGAGATATGTCCAATAGAACGAATAGTTGGTTTTGCATGTTGAAATTGGCTGTACTTCAAATTTGGTTCCATTTGAATGCAAAATTGATACTGGTTTTATAACTTAAAGAAAAATTCAGTACTGATGGTATAATTTGTAAGAATTACTTCAAATAGAATATCTGGAGTTAAGATTGCAGTAACATCCATATTAAATTTACATATGAACAGTAGGCTCAAATATAGAAGTCCAAGATGACAATGTACCCCTTTGTTGGGAAAGGAGGCAGTATTATCTTAAATTTTTTACCCAGGATGAATGGATGATTGTCTTCTATGTGGCCAGAAAGATGTAATTCACATAGTACATGCAATGGCAGAACCGGATTTTGTCCTCTATGTGAAAGAGTAAAATCTAGGTTAAGGTTTATCTGACAGGCTCTTGATTTAGTGGAGCATTGCCTGCTTTTGGTTCTAGGAAGGGTTTGGCTTCTTAACGTGCGTTTAATGAGGTGCCTTATCATATCAAAAGTATTACGCGAATCCAACATTGTTTCCATTAGGTTAACACCTGTAAGGGTGTGTTTCGTCCACGGGACAATACATAAGAAAAACTTGTCCCACGTGTAGTGCGAAAACTAGATTGGGACAGGACAAGACTGAGTGAGACAAAAATGCATTTTTTTCCAGTCCCACCAAAATAGGTGGAACAAAATTGAGGGAGATGGGACAAGATTGGTAAATTACTAAAGGGCAAATTGCATGAAAAAGTAACGTACTTTTAACTTGATTCCTATTTTGGGTAACGTACTTTCAAAACTTCCATTTTGGTACCTAAGATGTAATGTTTTAAACATTTAAGTACCCGGGTAACTGGTTAAAGTATTAACCGGTTATCATACTGATGTGCCAAGTGATGTGGTATCCAACTCGGTATTATTTGTTGATCTAGTCAGTGACGTGGATTTTTTTTAAATCTAAAATTAGTCTTTTTTTAGTCTAAAATTAGTCTTCACTATGTTATCCGGGTACTTAAATGTTAATAACTTTACATCTTAGGTACCAAAATGGAAGTTTTGAAAGTACGTTACCCAAAATAGGAATCAAGTTAAAGTACGTTACTTTTTCATGCAATTTGCCCATTACTAAACTACCCATGTCAAATTAAAACCCAAAAACCTTCCACAATTCTTTCACCTGCCTTCCTCACTCTCATCCTCCCAATCATGTCTGTATACCAAACGCACCCTTCCTACCTGGAACGAGCGAGTATAATGGAGCATTTTTTTTGGGGGGGGGGGGGGGGGTGCTGATGCATTTTTTATGTTAATTTTGTATGGTAGGTTACCACAGATAATGTTGAAGCTTGTTTGTTTGTTATAAATGGCATACTTTCTATTTGAGACATGATTTTGGTTATAATTGTAGTAACGAATTTTTTTGGTGATGTGATTTTGTGTTGCCATATATCGATCATTGGTATTTTACTAAAATTTTATGATATGGCAGCTTTCAGTGAGGAACTGTTTCATAAGAGGATCAGTAGTGAGATATGTGCAGTTACCACCTGAGGGAGTAGATGTCGAGCTGCTCCATGACGCCACAAGAAGAGAAGCTCGAGGTGGTTAGATGATGGTTCAATGTATCTTACTAGCATTTCTACTAGATACTTCTTACTTGAATTGTGACTGAATCTTATAATTTCTTACCCTTAGGGAAAGCTTTTATTCCCCCCCCCCTCCCCCCGGGAGGGGGGTGCTGAGGCCCATGGGTGTTTTTCTTCCTTACMATGCCTTTTGTATGTGTCCAGTGTACCTTTCGGTTACCCTTTTTTACTTATTTTTCTCGTGCTGTGTTCATAGCAGCCGTATGTTAATCTTTATTCCTGCTACCTATTTCCTCACACTTTTGCACAAGTTGGGAGTCTTCACGGAAATGGCCACTATTCTCTTTGAGGTAGAGATGCACAAGGTCTGGGTTTTTTTTGGGTCTAGGATCCGGCCTTCCAAGCCCGTTTTTAATCAGCAAAGAAGGCCCGGGTCGGGCTTTGAGGTTGAAAAGGGTCCTATTGGGCTCAGCATAATCGGACTTTTCCAGGTCAGACTTTTTTTAGGCGAAGCCTAGGCCTGGGTTTGCCCCCCAAATTTTGGCCTGTCCGGGCTTCAGGCTTGGGCTTTTTTATGGATCTCTACTTTCAGGTAGAGGTGAGGTTTAAGTACATTTCACCCCTCCCATTCCTTATTTTTGAACAAGATCCTTTTGGTTTGGTTTTGGTTGTGGTCCAGCTGACAGTTTGTTTGATAGCAATATCATTCCACCCATGAGCCATGGTGACCAATTTTCTGGTTTTTCTGAGTTGTCCTGCTTTTGGCACTCAATATGTGATGGACTCTGTTGATGTTTTTCACTAGATGAAGCATCAAGAATTTACCTATATAATTGAAATTTTTAATCTTGTTATAACACAGAAAATCAGTTAGGTTCATTTCAAATAGATGTATGTGGTTTGGTCGAAACAGGCTAACTGATCAAATCGAAGCAATTGGGTTGGGTTCAGGATCGGGTAATTGCCCGACTAGGCGACTCTTTTGGAAAATTTTCTGGTTAAGGTGTCTACTTTCTAGTTGAAAATAGTCATTTTAAATGGTAAAATACGTCAAAATGCAATAAAGTTTAGTTTAGTTTATATTTAGTGATGTAACAAAGTTTCTATTCATTTATTACAAAATAACCTTTGCAGAAATTGTGCGGTAAATGGGTGGAAGCGCCTGATAACCCCCCATGTAATTTATAAATGGCTAATTTTTCGAGAATTTTAGAACAAGTTTTTAATAAACTTTGATTTTCGGCTAATCCGGTTAAGGGAACCTGGAACATGTTGGAAATGATTTAGTAATTAAACCTTCGTCAATTGTATTTTCTATGCAAATATGGAGCAAGAATAAACCATGAAAAGATGATGGTTCAATTCGATGCTTTTACTTGGTTTTAATCAACTCCATCAAACATTTAACATTAACTTTTAGGCATGGTAACGGGGTGAGGATGAAGCGAGTTTTGTAATCCCCGGTCTTGGCCCCGGTTTGTAGCAACAGCCTCTGCCCCAGCCTTAGTCCTCGGCGGGTACGGGGATTAACATCCTGTCTCCGGTCAAACCCCACGAGGAATATTCATTAGTTTGAGTCTACCGGGGATCCCCGGTCTCGACCCCAACCTTAACCCCGGTTTGAGTAACAACCATCGAGACCTGTTTTAGCGGGGATCCCCGTTCAGGTCGAGTGAGTCGGGGACAATCAGCATCCTTATTAACTTTATTCCGCACATGAAGTTATTCGTCTTTTTAAATCGTTTTAAATAATAACAAAATGCGACATAATTCTTATTTAGTGTAATAAGGTTTTTTTTAGTCGGCTTAACTAACCTTCAGTTTGTTTTTTTCATCACCAATTTCGATTGATAATCTATAAATCTTGTAACATTCTATGGCATCCATATCAATTTGTCAATTATATTGTGAAACTGATTACCAAATGAAAATGAGATTTTTAAACTCAAGATTTTTAATTTTGTTTTTTAAATTTATGTAGGCTGAAAAGCACTTTAATAGCTAAAAAAATGTTATCGTAAGACCATGTATGAGGGTTGACGTCTGTCCAGTGACGAAAGGTCAATGATGGCAATTAAACACGAGGGTTGTGCTCGTTGCGGAACTTAACTCAGTTCTTTACAAGTACGGACAATTACAGTTCTAACCATCTCTGAGCTTTCTATAATTACATACAAAATTGAAAAGATTCAAATTTTGTTACATCGAGTAAAAATCTCCATTTTCAATGAATACAAGTTAAAACAAACTTTGTTGTATTGTGATGATTTTATTATTATTTTGAGAGTAAACTATGATTTTACTCTCTATATTTGTTGAAAATTACGATTTTTTTTTATGTTTTTGAAATTACAATTTTTGTCTCTTGATGAAGTAATGACTGGTGAATTAGTAGAATTTGAAGAGGGTACAATAGACATTACTCTTAATTTGTAATCAACTAATGTTGGTGTTTTATTAATGGCTGATGGTTTGCTGATACGCATTTCGGGAAAAACCAGCTAGCTTTGGGTTCGAGTGGCATTTCAACCCTCATACCTGAAGTTGAATACCCCATTCAAGAATTGTTTTGGATCCAATCCATAGAAATCAATAGAAAAAACAAATCTCTTTCCGTACTCCAGCTTGGTAGTTTCCACCGCCTGTCCAGAGTTGAGCCCTGGGATTTGACGGCTCATTTCTTAAAATACTTCAATTGTTGATACACCAGTATTTGGCTTTACAAGGTGGTCCTGTGATCTGCAATTCATTGTTGTTTACATTCTTGAGATTAATTTTATTAGTAGTTTACCGTTAAGCATGAGAGACGAAAACAACCATGAACTGTAAACCAAATGAATGAAAAAAACAATGAATTGTAAACTATAAGGACTAAAACCATATTTTCAAAAGTACAAAGACAAAAATAGCAATTTCAACAAACCACAGGGATTAAAAACGCAAATCTACTTTTATTTTTACAACCATTGCTCGAGTTACTCTCCCCCATGCTCTCCTCGTTTGGTTTCATGGCGATAGTGCTTTGTCCACCATCACCAACCAAAGCTCTTCACTGATCAAAACCAAACCCTAATTCCATAGACGGAACGAACAGAAACAACTCTTTTGCATTGTTTACGGCCATCGGAGGGGATCCAATTGTGTTCCCTTCATTTTTGAGCTGTTTGGCAATGGATGAGTTCGAACAAAACCCTCAAAAAACCCTGATGATTCCTACAAGGTTTTATTGCTTTTCTTATCCGATTTTTCTTCTGCTAGTAGCAATACTTCAATCTTCAGTTCTGCTTATATGTTTTTATAAATCACATTGGAAGCACACATCAATTCGTTTGGTTCCCGACATAAAATGTGGAGAAAACAGAGAGATTTTATAGAAGTTAGGACCTAATTTAACAGAGCCGTTCCAATTTCTACTGAAATTTGTTAATTTGTTATATTTTCCCTCTTTTCGGTATGTATGTGCGTGTCTGTTCATATTTTTTCTGATTACTTCCTTTACCGATACGGCCTATATATTGGAAAAACTGAACGGTTGATTATACCCCATCAAAATAATAACTAGATGCTTCATGCTTGATCTTCTTACAAAACAGAAAAGGCTATATTATTATAGCATCCCATATATATATATATATATTGAAGAAGTAAAAGTGCAGTGCACGTACTTTTACTTGGTCTTTTCTGTTTGTTGAATAATCCTATTCTTTAGGAGCTTAGAAGTTTTCCTTTTCT